GAGAGGGAGGGGCGAGCCACCCTCGCCGCCACCACAGGTCGCAGGGGCGGGCGCGGAGGTGGTGCCTGGCCCTTTAAGGAAGGGGGCCCTCCCGCCTGGCCTGCATCCGGCGCCCACCGCAGGGGAAAGGGTGGGAAACTGGTGTCAGGTCCGGTTGGCTCTCCGGGCTCCTACCCCCGCCCCCCCCCCCAATAGCCAGCTGGGCCCTTACACACCCAGCAGAACCCCCAGTCCATGCCGTGGGTGGGGAGACCGGGGCGGCCAGATGGGCAGAGGTCCTGGCCGCAGGCTTGTCTCCAGCCGCCGTGGGCCAGGTGATGAGGTGCACCAGCCTGGGCCACCTGTTCAGGAGGGTCGGGCAGAAGGCGGCTGGGGTGTATTCCCTTCCCTCCGCTCCCCACTCCGCCCCATCCTCAGGAGGTGAAGAGCCAAAGGCTTGGGGTGCCTGGAAGGGCCATAGCGACCAGTGAGGACAAGGCACCCACACGGTTTCCTAGATGGAAAACGGATTGTTCTGGGGAGATGCGCGCTTGTCTTTGTGTGCCTTTGGGTATGCGACTTGCCCTCCCAGCCTGTTTCTCCATCTGTTGATACATTTGACCTCAGAGGGTCTCTGTGGGGATTGATGAGATTGTATAGTGGTGCCTGGAACACAGCAGTTCAGTACATGGTGGCTGTCGCTGTAATTTGCAGGGGTTACAGGGGTGGGCACCTCAAGCCCTCAGTCATCCAACACTGGTGGACAGTCTACTGTGTGCCAGTCTGTTAAACGCCTTCCAGTTCCTTCAGAAGCAATTCATACTTGATGTCTCCTCCCCAGATAATAAGAGTGGCTACTATTTAATTTACAGACAGGAAGCTAAACCCTCAGAGGCAAAAGGACTTGTCCAAGATCCAGCCAGTTGCTACCACCCCACCCCATTCATCAAGAGGTCAAGGCCCGGTTTGAGCTCCGAGGGCACCCAGTAGAGATGGGCCACATCCCGACTGGATTCCAGACCGGCAGGGATGGCTGGGGTGGGGGCCGTGAGACGAGCCCCCTTCCTGCTGAAGGGTTGTGGGGGGCAGCTGAGGTTGATGCAGTAGTGTTTCTGTCACCACATCCGGGGGGGTGAGGGGGGGGGCTGGCTGGGCTGGGGAAGGAAGTCTGAGGCTGGAACGAAAACCCAAACCACCACCTGGTGAAGCTGCTCAGAGCCCAGGATGAGGGGGAGCGAGGCCACACCGAGCCCGCAGCAGGCTCCTGTCAGTGTCACCTGACGGCCAGCCCACCTGCACCCTTTCTCCTTGAAATGCGAACACGGCCCAAGTGTGCCGTTTGCAGGACTTCACCCTCAAGTGCTCACAGGGCCAGGCCCGATTCTAGACACTGGGGTGCAGCCCTCGACAACCCAGGAGGTGCTGGGACTTGCCCAAGCACACTCTGCTGGCAGGTGGAGGACTGAGTAAGCAGAGGGAGTGACAAGGGACAGGATACCAATTCTGGTCACTGCTGGAGGCCTTGAGCCTCCCCCCACCCCCACCCCCCCTCTTTCTCTGTAGAGCATTCATACTGCTCCCTACTTTATGAAGTTGTGAGGAACCAGTGAGATGGCCTGTGTTAACACTGGTCTGGTTCCTGCTAAGTGTACAGCTGACCACTGCGGTGCCACCACCTCCAGGGACTCTGGGCCCCCACCCCTCCCAGCAGCTCCCAGCATGGCGGGTGTTCTGTGCAGGCAGCTCCCAGCTCTCCCTGCTCCACGTCAGCCCGGGTGTGGGCCAGGGAGGGAAGGGTAGCCCTCTGGCCTCACCACGCCATCACACATCCCGGGGGTGAGGGTGGTGGGGTGAGGGGGAGGAGTCTTGAGCTACACTGTCAATCATACCATGTGCTTGTGGGCTCTGCCCCCGCTGCTGCTGCGGCCCCTGGGGAGAGCGCTTAGGGACAGAAGGAGGGGCCCGGGGAGATTCGGTCCTGTGCCTTGACTTCCGTTCCTGCACCCACTGTGCCCAGGCTCTGGCCCCCCTTGCCCCCCTCGCCCTACCACAAAACCCCAACCCATCATCATATCCCCTCTCCAAGCTCCACCCACTCCAGACAGAACCAGTTACTCCTCCCAAAGTCCCTGTCCGTCCCCTCAACAGTCAGCACCGCCACCCATCTTACTCCAAAGGGTTTATTGAGGCAAGTTTCACATACACGTCCAGGACAGGGGGACAGGTTTATAAACAGGAATCTGGGAGGGATCCTGAGGGCTCAGGGTGGAATCCAAAAAAGAGTGAAATAAATAGAGGGAGAGAGTGGAGGGCCAGGAGAGGAGACAGACAGACAATCACACAGTGATAACGACATGGGGGCAGGGGGGCTCCATTAAAATCCCATTTATTTATACAGATATACAGGGAGTTATGGGGGACCCTGGGGGACCCCACTCCATCCTCCATGCCCCAGGGATGGGCAAGAAGAGGACATCTCCCCATGGGTGACCCTGTGAGGGGTAGGGGACTGCCCTTGGAGGGTTGAGGAAGGTAGGGGCAGGTGCCTCCCCAGAGGGCACCGCCTGCTCCCTGGGCATTACTGGCCCTGGAGGCGTTGGGTAGTGTCTGGAAAGCTGTGCTGAGGGAACTGGAGGGAGGGTGGTGGACTGGGTGTGCTTCCGGGTGGGCCAGGCCCAGCACTCCCACTGAGGACAGCCTGGGCCC